GCAGGAACGAAAACATCCCTATGTTACCAACACTGTTTTCAGCACAGATCCAAACCATAGCCCCATGCTAGCCACTGTGAAGAAAATTAACTCTATCCCAGCCAAAACCAGCACGGTGCTTAAGAGATTTTGATTTAGTGTTCATTCACGAGTAATTCAAGGATCTACTACAAGCCATACCATCAAGCAATAAAATAACTGCAGTAGGAAAATACTCTATTTCTTGTTGAATTTGAATTGAATCTAAAAGATTTTTATTCAAATCTGCTGCTTCAGTTGGAGAAAAAAAGGACAGTAGCAGGTTGCCAATAAAGGGTCTGTTCTGCCTCATCAACTCAAAAATTCATGTTGAAGTGCTGGAATAGTTTGCCATCCTTTCAATTCATTTTACAAAACAAGTTCTGGACTGAGCTCTGCTTTCATGTATTCTCTCTCCATGGAAATTATGTCCTTTTTCTCATTTCAAATTAGATGAGTACAATGAAATCCTTATTTTACATATTTATTAACAAGGCTTTCATCCCTGTGGTATTGTAACTATCCTCACTACTTTATGCAAAGAAATTACAAGGAGAACTCACAAACCTTTAGGAGGTATATGTGATCACTCTTTTTCAAGCATTATTGCTCATATCTGTATTCTTCTTGCATGTTGCTCCACCAACCATTGTCTACTTGCCTGCCTTCAATACACTGTTGATGGCATTGATTTTTTTTTTTTTAATTCTGAAATAAATCACATTGTAGACCTTGTGTCAAGTTGAGATCTGTTTGGATATCCATTGTTAGAAAATTGATGAGTGAAGAAATGATGTTACCTCCACTGTCTGGCATGTGGAGGGTTAAGGGAATTTTTAGCCTCACCAAAAAGTATCTGGTCAGGTACTCAGGTGCTGGAAATTTTCTTAGCAACATCAGTCACCCAGGAACATGATCATCTGCTGTTCTGGGGTAGAGATTACAGAGCTTAATGATTAGCTACTATAAGCTGCAGCTGATGCCAGACTCTACCCCCTTTACACCTAATTAGCCTCATTAATGAGCTCTTCTGCTCTCCACAGAGAGGGCTTCCTCCTTGGAATAGGAGGCAAAAATACTTCACCCAGGTAGATGTGCTGAAACCTTTAATTATTGCCCACACCTGCAAAGCCTTGTGTCTCTGACAGCAATATTGCTTAGCTGAAATTGTGCTTATTTACAGTGACCACAGTACAAAGTATTAACTCTTTAGCAACTTAGGAATTGTTTTTAAGCTTTGAAAGTATTTATAAAGGGTGTAAATCTAAGCACTCAAACTTTACACTTGATGAAGTTGGGTGTGTTGTATGTGGGTTTTTTTGTATGTGACAAAATGTTTTTGGAAGTTCCCGAGTATTTTGTTTAACCTTAAAAAATGAGTTTAAATTGCTATTGAATGTCAAATATCACATTACCAGAACTAAGAACACTGTTAGGCAAGTTTTATTCTTTAGATGAGCAACTTTTGCATTTGGAGCAATGTAATTTTGTGCTGCTAAAATTAAAATATGGAAAAATACGCATCTAGAAATCAAGTAATGTAGTAGACAATGACTAAGCTAATGAAGTGTTCTGGTGTGATTCTTAGCTATAGCAGTTATTGGTAAATATCTACTCCATTCTAGTGTTTAAATTTCTTGAAATTTGATAACATTGTGTTTGGTTTATTGTTTATTTGTTTTAATGCTAAAATAGTTATGTAACATTTTTGCATGTGCATTTGGGTCAAAGCAGTTATGCCCATATGTATGTACATTTGTAAAATTAGCTCAAAAGACAGCTTAAGTCAGTGCTGATTCTAGTTTTTAATAAAGAAAGTTCAAAATGCTAATTTCTCAGTGCAAATACTTTGCTCATTATTTAATAACTTTTTCTACAGTAGCCAGCTTTCTTCAGCAGGAAATGCCTACTGTGAAAATATCTAGCATCCGTGATGTAGATACTCTGTGGCACCGGAAAGAAAGTAATCCAGTCCTGCGGAGTAGTCAGCTTCCTTGAAGACGGAGCGGGCAGGTGGCAAGTGTTTTCTTTTACAGTTTCATGCTCTTCACGTAGCTTTCTCGGCTTCTGGCCTGTCATTGCAGCAAGTGAAGCAATCACAGAGAAAATCTTGGGCTATAGGATGCTCAGAGTCTGCAGGCAACTGTAGTCACAAGTTGTGGTTCTTTCTGAGGGAGTTTGAGCCAAGGAATTTTTTTCCCTGGAAATTCATCTTCTAAAATGAATAGAAGATCGTGTGCCTCCTGCAAGACATGTTCAATGCCTGTGTGAAGTGATAGAACTTTTCAACCAAAGTTGTGAGATTGCTTCCCTTGAAGATGTTATTAGCAGAATGCTGAGCTAACTTGAAATAAAGCATTAAAGTTAAAAAGGAATTTGGAACAGAAAACATGTTCATGCAGTTGAAAGAATATTAAGAAACTGAAAATAGGATCTCAAAGCTGTGAGATCGCCACAATAGACATCATTATTAGCAATTCTTATGAATATATAGAGCAAAGTTTGTTTTACTTTATTAATAGTTACAGCAGCATCAAGTCTCACCAGCCAAGATGTAATAATGCACCCTGTGAATCACAGAAATTCATGTGCATTTTTCCATGAATGCCATTTGAATTGAATGCCAAAATAAAGCATCAAAATGAGTGATTTTTCACATACTTGGATAACGTTTTGTCAATTGTTAGTGCTCCTTATAATTATTACAGAAATGGGATTGAAGTTTGTGGACTCTTCTGATTGGAATCTTGGCAGGTTTAGTTCTGTTTCCTAGGTGAGAAAGCCTGAGGTTCCAGGGCAGATGAGAGGGACTTTTACAAGATAAAAATTATCATTGAGGGCATGTGGGTCTGGAGGGGAGCAGAGTTGGCATTTTTGGCCTAGCAAATATCTGCCCATCTGCTCTCTGTCAGAATATGTTAGAAGTGCATCTGGATCTGTGCCCCAGAGTTTCGGCTCTGAGCGGGTCATGTGCTTGTCTCCACGACAACTCAAGGAACTGTGTAAACTGCTGCGCTCTGAGCCAGATGCTTCTCTGCACATGTGGTCTAATTAGATGGCATTTTTCCCCACTCACAAAAGACTTCAGAAATTTTGCGTGGTTTCCATGTCAAAAATGTGTAGCTGATATAATGGGAGTTGGGAGGAGTCATGCGGTCAAACACTAAATAATTACACTTGCTGCAAGGCTCGGCTTCAGTGTGTGTGAGCTGTAGTGAATGCAGAACAAATTCCCTTTGGTAGTTTCATCGTGGATTGAGCAAAACCTGTAGGGCAAGTGGTAAAAGGAAAAATCTGCTTTTTTTTCGTCCTCACACTGGATGCAACTTTCTTTTTATGAATATATCAGGAAGGAATTGGGGCACTGAGACAGATTACGTATCTTGCAATAAATGCTTGCAAGACACAGCATTCTTAGTCTCTCAGAGGAGGGGTTTCTTTTTTTTTTTTTTTTTTTTAAGGGTTTGAATAAAATCTGCAAGAAGTGAGATGTTGTAGAGGAGAGCCTGGGGAAATAAAATCAAACCTAACTTATAAAAAATGATACTTTCTAATATGGCAGGATCCTTAACCTATTGTGAGACGGGGGAAATGGCTTCGTTTAGTGCCAGTGATTGAGGAGCTCTTTTAAAAGTAATTGAAAAGTAGCACAATTTTTGTGATTATACTAATGTGGCTTTTTCTGTGTCTTACCTTCTCATGTGGTAAAATCTGAGCCTCTTTCTGACAAAAAGTGAATAAATGGTAAAGAGAATGAAGAGTTCTCGTTTGTTTTGAAAGGGAAATGCTTTACTTTGCTTTTTCCCCACCTGTGAGAAGCATCTTGAGCGGTTGTGGACTTGATTTCTTAGTTCTTTCCCAGAAGTTGTTTGGGCAGACAAATAATATACTAATGCCCTGTAACGAGCAGTATAGAAGGAAGTGTCTTTGGTGTGGCAAGTTCCAGTCGTTCCCAGGAATGGATGCTCTTGCATCTTTAAGAGTCTAGTGACGTAAGTTACTGATTTATAATCTCATGTATATGATAAATAACCATAGCAAGCATATGTGTGTATGCATTTATATATTAATCATTGACCACTTAGGTTTCCTCAGAGACCGTTACATGACTCGAACAGAAAGAAATGAAACCTTTTTCCAGTGTTCCTAATCCAGTGCCTTTGATTACCTCTCTCAGGGGACATGATAAATTCCTTCTTTAAAGTGACTTCTTTTCTGCCTGTGTTTTTTCATGGCAATAGTTGCGGCTTCCACACCAAATTATCAAGTAGCATAACATGATGACAAATCAAACCTCAGTGAGTTCTATTATAGTAATAGCATTTACTTTGCCAGATATTATATGAAGGAGGTGGCACTGCATATCATGTTATCTTATATCTTATGCATTAGTATATCTACCAGAGACTAGATGTCTCAACTCAGTGAAAATTTAAAGTTTAATTCCGTTATATCCATTTTATTTATAGAGACGGGGGTTTTGTTACGTAGCTAAGAGAGTGGGATTTTATGACCTACCTTTATGACTAAAGCTTCTCTCACGTTGCTTTAGTGAAGTTAAAAACAGTTATTCTCCTTCTGCATCTGTATTAGCATTTAAATATTATGTTAAAATATTTCGATCTTGAAAACAGCCATTTTATTCAGTGTGGTTTTGGGGATCATGATACAAAGGAGTCATATACTTCTTGCGCAACAACATATTTTCAGCATATTTACTTGAGTGAATCCTGGAAGCTTCATTGATTTGGATGAGTTTCGGCTTTTTACATGTATCTAAGAAGTCAAAAGAAAGCAAAAATATTAACATTTGTGACCTTTAGGCATATTGGTAATTTCTAAATCTTGGCCAATCATTTATCATTTTTAGAGATTTTTTTTTTTCCTATTTTAACAAAATATTTTGTATTCTATTGAGTTTTAATAAATGAGACAAGAAAAAGCTTGTCATTTATCTCACAGGAAATACTTCGTGTAGACTGTGTTTCCAAGCACACTTTTCTATTTTGTCATAGTATAAAATAACTCATATAAAGAATTGCACTGTAATTTTTCTCCTTTTTTGTATTGTCACTAATGTTCCACAATAGTTAAAATAGAAAAAGGCCTTTTTGTTATAGGGGACCTGAATTGGTAGCTGCTTTGCATGCAGAACATACTAGCTTCAATGGGAGTATTGCTCATGGAATGATTGCAGAACTAGACCCTGAAATTACCTTGCCAGCTAATGATAAAATCGCATGCAGGCCACAGGGGTTTTTGTGGAATAAATATAAGAGTGGAACAATATACAGTATACATTATACCAGTAATTTAAAGCATATTCAGGACAAAA